CCTCTTCAGGTTGTAACAGAACTGAATTTGCTTGCACTTGTTTGCCCAGCTGCTGTCTTCCCTGAGCCAGGAGGAGGGCTGTCCTTGCAGCTCTGCTCCTGGATGCCTCGGCTCTCCGAGGTGCCAAGGAGCGTGAACCTGAGTCCCACCATCACGCTGTAAGGTTTGATGGGTCTGGCACCTCAGACCGTGCCTTCTTAATGGGAAAGGTAGAGAATTGCTTATGCAAGTCCATAGTTTATGAGAGATATTTCAAAGCAGTCTGTGTACGTCCTGTACTTGTACTTAGTGGGCTATGGCTTGCAGAAGACTTGCAGTGTAACAGTAGGAAAAAGATATTTATTTGTAGCTCAGGAATATGTCTTATGAGTAATACCGTGGAAGCTCTTTCAGTTGTAAACTCTAGACTTTCTTCCTTTTCTTCCAAATTGCCAAGGAAGCAATTTTTGAGATTTATTGCTGTGTTGATGGTTTTTGACCTGGAAATGATTCTTTTCTGTTTTGTCTGAGACAGTGTGACGGCATTTCGTCTTCCATCCGGGGGAAGGCACGAATCCTTTAGTTCTTTGATAAATGCATGAAAAGTAGCAGGGTAAAAGTAGCAGGGTTAAAAATTCTTCTTTATTGATTTTGGTTACAGTATAATGAATGCCTAATTGTAACTCCAGGTAGATGTGAATTTGAAAACTCCCACCAAACTATTTGATGTAAGGAATGCTAATCTGTTTTAAAGTTGGTTGGCTTTTAATATTTTTAAAATAATTCTAAGATTAATTTGAATACACTTTTTTTTTTTTTTTTTTTTGTGTCCAGAGATCTGTGTGACAGGTAGCAAGGAAAGCAGTATTTCCCAGAGAAAGCACTATTTTTGAGATGGAAGGAGTTGCCTTTCTGTAAAATGAGTGGAGTGATCTGTAATTTCAGTCCCTGATTTTTTATTTTAAGGGAAAAAAAGACAAGCAGCACTGCTTACCCCTTTAAAAGCTTTTACTATTGCTCTGGGCACTCGCAATATGTTGGCTCTGCCACCTTTAGCTCAGCTGTCTCATAAGTGGCTCAGATGACCAGAGTAATTAAACAGTAAGTCACCAACCAAATCATTTTGAAAAATGTAACAAGCTACATGTTGTCTCTGTTGTTTCACCAAAACATGGAGGGCAATCTCCTACAGCTTGTGTTCGATGGCAGATCCTACTGCCAGGCCTCGAGGCAGGGCACAGCAGCGGGGCGTGAAGGTGTGAGGTACACGAAGCGTGCTTACAAGTTTTGGAGAAGGTAATGGCTGGGTGGAGGAGAGAAACCCAAACCCAGCTCTGGAGTGACTGTGGGACGAGCTCATCAGTTTGACCCAGTGGCTCGCCAGCAAGACCATGCACAGCACAAAACCAGCTGAAGCCTGGCTGGGCCCATTGAGGGAACAGAAGTCACAGATCCATTGGGTTTCGTTTCTTTTGTTCTGTGCATTTGTTTTAGAATAACAAAGACAACTCTTATCATTTCCCCCTAAAACAAGTAATAACCTCTTTGTTATTTTGGCAAGGGTACCACGTTGACACACAGGGCTAGAGCAGCTCCAAATAAAGGGTTTATAAACCCTGACCTCGCGTTCCTAAAAATGGGAAAGTTTAAACGCAACCAAACAATGCTCAGTCCAGTGCCCTTAAACTTAAAGGCCTTCAAGGACCTGGTCTTAACAAAAGCCTCTGCCTGAACTGAATGCTTTAAAAAGGGCGCTGCCAGCTGCCAGATACGTCTCGTTTCAGAAGGCAGTGGCGCCACAGAGGATTCTGCTTCTCCGTGAGTGCTGCTTCCAGTCCGGGAGCCCTGCCGGAGGGACCGAGCTGGCAGCCTTCAATGACATTAGTCCAGAGCTGTGACTTGTTGTGCGGGGAGAAAAGGCCCACAGTACTGTTTTCTCCTTCAGCTTGGCCAATTCCCACATTTTCCCTTTTCGCGTTGGATGTGCAGGTTTTATTTGTCTTTCCCCAGCTTTCAGTTTCTTTCGCTTATCTGCAGCGCTGCAGCCTTGAGTAACACCATGTCCTTCCCAGAGAGGTTAACTAGAGGTTGCCTCCCCAGCTATTGATTTAACAAACAACAACTGGGGAACTATTTGATAGCTGGCTCATTTTAAAGCAAGAGTGTGTCGTGGGGAACGTTTTCTGCATTAGCCGTGCACACCCTCTGGCCCAACATACATTCTTGTGCCTCTGGGTCTTTGTTGGCAGACTCGTGGGGCAGAGTGATGGCAGCACGTGGGCACCAAAATTAGGCCAGACAAGGTGGGAAGGGAAAGTAGTGTCAAGAGGCAGAAGAGGAATGGAATACATGTCCAGAGTTTTTTTGAGCTAGGACTGATAATTCGCTGCATTCAGAGTTGAGAAATAATTTTTAATCCATTCTTTTTTCTGTCCAATTCCATTGTAATTACAAGCCCAAATGAGCATCGCTGGGTACCTCTGCTCATCAGCTTTCTGGATTGGTATCAGTTTGAGCTGTGGGAGTAAAGTATTTTAGCTTTTGCTGTGACTGCAGGAAGGCAGTAGTAACTGTGTTTTAAATGCACTGAAAAAGTAGACGACAGGCAGGTAATTGTGGTGCTGCTTAAAGTGGGTATTAATAAAGGTGCCAGGAGAAATGAATTCTTTATCTCCCTGCCTCTTGTTTCTTCTTCAGTCCAGGGGAAGTCAGTGCACTTTTTTTGGTGAACCTGCAGTTCACTAGGTGTAGAAAGACTCTCTTTTAAAGCAACATCAGGTCCTTTTTTACTCAGGGGTTTCCAAACACTCTACTTGGTGGGACCCCAATGCTGAGGGGGAGAGTCTGTTGGTCCCCTTCATTCCTGGGGACAGATGCTCAATGTGTAACCTCTTTGCAGTGCAGGACTGCTGATACCTTTTTAAGAAGTTGGTACTGGTTGGAAAGTTGTCCTCAGAAAGTGATTATTTCCCTAAAACATTCTTCCAACTTAGTTTTCTTTCAGTAGCAAGTATATCTACAGCATTCAGACTCAGTCTTGACTTTTATCTAGGTGAAAGTCAATCTACCTTTTATTCCTCTTCTTTTAAACGGTTTCTGGTACCATCCACGCTTGTACAGTGGTATCTCTTTCTCAAAGAGCATTCACCAAACAGGCTAAACCTGGTAATGCAAACTGGTAAGTAAAGTCTGTGAGAAGGGTACTGCTGAGTGGTTGTGAGAAGTAACGTGCCGCTGGTGTGTTTGAGAAGATACAAGGGTACTGCTTGTCATTCTTGCTTGTGTGACAGCTGAGGCAGCACCATGGTCCACCTCTGGGCAACCTTGATAGCATCACACTCTCTGAGCAGACGTAATTTGAACCACCTAAACACATTCCTCTAGGCCTGAGGGAACAAAGACCCTGCAGCGGGTGCGTGATGTAGCAGCACTGTAGTCCCTTAGGATGCTTTGTCACCTGCCATGTGTGCTTTTCATTGACTAAAGCAGTAGATTAGATACTAAGTCCAGCCTAAATGGCCAGCTCTCAGATGGCTAAAGGTAGAAAAGAGAGATCCTGTCCTCAGTAAATGTGCTTAGTATGTATAAATGATTCAGTCCTGTAGTTGTAGTGGGTTGATACGTGGCTGTGTGCCAGATTAGCCTTCTAAAATGTACCCTTGTGTTTGGTGCCCACAGAAAATGTTCATTGGCTTTTCCACAGAACAGGATTATAACGCTGGGACTTCTGAATTTCAGCCATGGATTAGGCCAGTGGTAGCTTGTGTTGCAGTCTCTAGGTGTGCAAAAGCAAGGCAGGCTGTACCGCCTGGCCCCACATCACTGACTGGACTCTGCTCCTCTACTCAAAAATCTCATTTAATGTTTCTAAATTTAGCCCCCCCCCAGCTAAAGCTTTGTAAGTCAATTTGCTCTTTGAAATTGAGAAATTGCCCGAAACAATTAGACAGTCCTACAACCATTAAGCAACTCTGCTTGCATCTGTTTCTAAATGTGACAAAGCGAGACTTCTGTAAATGGGTGCAGAACGGCGCTGTGGTGACTGATGAGAAAGCAGCATCGCAGGCAGGGCAGGAAAGCACAAACGCCTGGCTGGATGATTTTACAGACCTAGTACTACCCTTCAGATAGCCTGATTTTATCCTTTGAGATCAACAGAAAGCACAAAGTGATTCAACATCTTGGGGTGGAGCTAATAGTGAAGCTCAACTTGCCTACGGAGGCTTTGCTCTTTCTGTGGTGGGAACAGAGGCTGCTGGCGGCTAACTGCATCCTGAGGACTTCATGGCAGCCATGCAGATCAGTTGTTTTAAACTGCATGTGGCAATGAGATTTCTCCTCAAAGAGCAATGCTGAAGTGAGCTCAAGTGAAGGGCATTAACTGAGCTTAAGTGAAAGACATTAGCTGTAATATATAGTAAGCCTCAAATTTCCATCTCTGTATGAGTACAGAGACCTCGTGTGAGGAAGTACCATTTCAAGTTTACGTATTGTCTCGAAAGGGATGAAATGACTGCATTAATGTGCCATTTGGGGCTAGTTTTCTGTACATAAAATGTGACTGATTGAACAGCTTTTCCTCATTTATAAACACTTAGGATTGCACACCACAGTCTGTGTGCAATATGCACTTGCATATTTTCATATGGCCATATTGTGATGGACATGTTAATATATACATCCACACTATCACCAATATGGAGTGCCTCTGAGGTGCTATCTGTGGCGTCCCAGGAGAGCTGCATACAATAGCACTGACATTGGAAGAGATACTGACAATAATACATCCTGTCATCAGTGTTTTTGCACTTTCTGGACATAGCAGATGCACAGACGGTATGCAAATACGGAAAAACAGTATCCTGAAATAATTTCTTTAAATGCAAAACATACCAAACATTAACCTGAGTTGCTTCTTTTTGTGAATAAGAATCTCAGAAGGAAAGGGGAAATTTAGTGGTGAATGAAATTGGATTTTTTTTTTTTTTAGTTGATATTTGTTTAATTTTGTGTTATTGCAGAAACTGGAACATAAAGAAGTTTTGGTTGGCTTGTTGTTCCTGGTTTTCCCATTCATCCCAGCCAGCAACCTCTTCTTCAGGGTGGGATTTGTGGTGGCAGAGCGAGTCCTTTACATGCCGAGGTAACTATTGCAATTGAATTCCTTTCTAATGAGACCACCATCTCATTTTCTAAAAGCAGACAAGATTATTTCTTCCCTTTTGCAATACTTCAAACATTATTTTGGTAGTCAGTATGCTCTCTGCCTTTGAGGTTTGGCATGACAGTGTGAGGGATTTTATAGTCATTTGACAGCAGCTTGCTTGTCCAGAGTAAAGCTAGCCAAATTCATTTATTTTTTTTTTCAACACAGATTTTGATGGGTTTGAAACAGCTGAATACAGTGATGAGGTGTTGTTTCTTGAGGATTGTTCCCCACCAGTCTTTCTGAAAGCATTATCAACTCGCGTTATCAATTGTCAATGTCTCTACCTTAAGGACAGCGTCTGAAGAGTTAACCTGTCATTTTTATTGTGGTATTGCTCAGCTTCCCCTCTACGTTAGGTGGTTGGTGAAAACAGAGACGACAGTATTGCTGTCTTAAAAGGCTGCTGACTTGAGTTGTGGAATATGTACCTGACCTTCTGCCTGTATGCAGACACATCTATGAGTGGAGGATTTGCAGTTGTGGAAGAGGGTGAGGAAAATCCAGCCCCTCCTCCATCCCTCAGCATCTGCCCCAGGGTTTCCTCCAGTTTCCAGCCTCTTAACAAGTGTTGATTTAGTCTTCCCATTTCTTTTACTGAAGGACAGCTTTGAGGCATTACTTTGACACCTCCACAGTATCCAGACCAGTGGCTACAGCGGCAGTTAGAGGACATTTATCCAAAATGCACCAGGCAGGTGCCCATTTTGCAGAATCAAAGAACAGCTGAGGTTGGAAGGGAGCTCTGGAGGTCATCTGGTCCAACCCCCTGCTCAAGCAGGGACTCCTAGAGTGGGTTGCTCATGACTTTGTCCAGACAGTTTTTGAGTATTTTCAAGGATAGGGACTCCACAGCCTCTCTGGGCTGCCTGTGCCCTTGAAGCTTTTTCCAGCCATGAGCATAAGCAGTCGTTCTTGAATGTCACCAGTCAGTAGGCCCAATTCTACCTGCAGGTGCAGAGGGTCAGCTCCTGTTACCTCTAATGGGAGCTGTCCTTGTGGAGCTGTCAACAAAGTATAGCCCCAAGTTTCACTTCAGATTGCTTTGTGATAACTAAAACAATAATTTTATTCTACTCTTTACACTGTAGTTCGTGTAATTCCAAAAATCCTAGAAAAATGCACTTATAGGTTTTCTTTTGCAAAGCCTTTGCCTATTCTGACAATCATTTGTGTAAGTATTATCACAAAAGGACTGCTTGTTGGTGTAAAACTGGGATTGTTGCATTTACTACAAGCCTTTTCCATAGGCTATGTCTCTGTGCTCTGCTGTATACTGACTTGCTTTTTGGGTCAAATCCTACTGCTTTTATTCACATCACTAGCCCTGCTTTTGTCTGGTGGGAGTATACCTGGAAATATAGAGTGAAAGTTGTCCCTCTGAGTTATTTTGCAAATGATACCCTCAGCTAATGGATCTTGCATCATTTCAAATTAACTTGAAAATCAGATTGCTTTAAATTCATGTAACAGAAAATGAGGAGACACATGAAAGCGCAAAGCTATTAAGGAACAGTCAGCTGAACACAAGGCTGTGTTGAGTGGTTGCATTTCTGAATCTCAAAAGAACAACTGCGGAAAATACTTCAGCTGTCAGCAGTTCCTTGTCCTCCTCCAGATGAGACTGCTGATATAATGAGAGGAGGGGCAATGAAGAAGAAAAAGGGAGATGTTTGCACGGAGAAAATTAATCAGCGTTAACATGTGCGCATATAGTTTGTATAATGCTTTTCATCTCCCTGTTGGCATTGCAAATATATGACCTACAAAATAGGTAATTGATAGTTGCCCCCCCTTTTTTTTCAGGCAGGAAAGCAGAGGTGGGGGGGGATAAAATGATTTCTTTAGACTTAACCTGTGTTGGAGTCCTTGAGTCTCCTGCTTTGCTCAGATCACTCATGCCCTGCTTTGCAATGTGTGTTTTTTGCTCCTTGCCCAGGCTGGCAGGCAAAAACCCCACAGCTAAGAGGAGAGGGCAGGTACCACAAACGCTGCTGAAGGGGCGCTTTCCAGCCAAAGGACCTTGAGAGCTGCTTTCTTGGCTCAGTTACTAAGAAATGAGCTCTCTTTGAATCCTTTGGGTTCAAAACAACACGAGCAGTGAGGAGGGCTTCTGTGAGCATTCCTGACTATGGCAGAAATAAAATGATGATGTTTTATTCCCTTCCTCGGGAACGTGGCAGTTTAATAGTGATGGCTCTCGTAAGGAGTCGTGTTCTTTATTTAGAACAGCCTTTGGCAGTTTTCTTATGCTACGTCTTGAAAAGTGCTTTTCCTATGCCTTGCCATTTCTTCTATATAGTTCAGTTTACAGCTCGGAGGTGGTCATTCAGCTTCATTTAGACAGAAGTACGGAGTCAGATGGCAAGAACCTGGTGACCTGTGTTTCTGGGCTTATGGTAGAAGGTGCTTTTCTACCTCTGTTTCAAGTAGCAGCCTTTTATTAGTAGTTGTGGCTATTAAGGTTGTACACGCTTGCGTATATATGTCACAGCCTGAAGTCCTAATTCCGTGTTGCTCGGTAGTTACCTGAGCAAAATGTCAAGCGTTTTGTTTTCAATAAAAATCGAGTAAGGACCCAAAGATTTATGTAAAAGATGTTGTAAATGGAAGGGAACAAGGAACAAGCCTTTTGCTCAATGGCTAATTATACAGCTGGGCCTTGCCTTCTGGAGGCTGATGGGTTATTTTGAACAATTCCCCTTCTGTCTGCAGCCATGCCTCAGGGGAGAGGGATATGAGATAAGTCAACCTGGCTGAATGTTTTCTTTAATTGGCTTCAGCAAAACAGCAGTATTTGGAGGAAATATTGCTTGTATTTAGTTTTCATTTGAGGGTTACAAGTGCTTAGTTGTTTAAATCAGAACTTAAAAAAGTAATATTGCTTAAGCCTGAAAAATTTCATAGGAGATCAATTTATTGTCTTTAAACTTCAAACTGTGTTTTTGGTTGTTGTTTTCTTATCCTAAAGGGTAAGAAAGCTCGTTTTCAAGAGGGCTAAAGATGTGAAGTGTGTACCTTGGGAGAGGTGGGCAGGATCCAGCTCCAAAGGCCACAGTTTTCAAGAAAACATCAAAATAAATAGCTGGATCAGTGAAAGACTCAAAGCACAGCAGGTTTTCCTCTCTTTAAAGTATAGATGCAATTATGCATGCGGCATATCTGCAGTGGCCACATACAACCTAATGGTTTTAAAATCAGGAACAACTTTGTGCATCCAGTTATTCTGAGCCGTGAGCCATTTGTCTCACTGAACTTCAACCCCGGAGCACTAGCTCCTGCCGTTTCACATGGAGAAACAGGAGGGGCACTGCAGCCTCTGGGGCCATCCATCCAGGAGCTGCCAGCCCTACTGACTTAGTAGCAGAGCTGGGGTTGCTCTCTGCCTCATAGGATCAGACCTGTCCTAGGGGAGCAATTTCTATTCTCCTCATCTTTTACGCTGCTCTGCTAGCAGTGGCCCTGGCTGGGCTGCTGTGTTGTAGCTAGATGTCTGAAGCTGTTTTTGACAAGCTCATATCAACCAACAAATCAACCAAATTCCTGACTTGGAGAGCCACCCAGATAAAAGCAACAGGCAACCCAGCAGTACCCGCATGACTTTTTTGGCAGCTCACTTGCCTCGCTTATTGCAAGGAGTGGGTTTGCAGAGTGCACTGTTACTCTTTCCCAACTGAGAGAGTTACAGCTTGCTGTCATTTATTTTTTTTACCAGCTCCTCAGTTTGTTAAAAGTTGATGTTGCAAACCCTAATAATAGTAGAAGATGAGACCACTGCTCTATTAATACAGTGTGGCATTTGGTTCAGTGTCTGTCTAATAATCTGCAAGAAAGCCAGCAACCAGAAAAAAAGTGCGCCTATATTTTTCAGGAACTTAGCGTATCACCTGAAAGCTTTCCCTTTTTATATTCCCATCCCCTTTCCCTTTCCTATCTTGATAGCAATGCAGGGACTATATGGAATTTTGCCTTTGCGTAGAGCATGTTTTTGATTCTGTGTGCGCTAATGCATTCGTTCCAATTAGTGTAATTCTGTATATTATTATCTTCTGTAATTAGGAAAAAAAAAAAAATAAATAACCTGATGGGAAATGGGATGCTTTGCAGTTTTCATGGACCTGAATATCCCTGAGCAGAAGTCCTCATTGCTTACAAGGCAGCTACTTGAGGATGATGCTTCTCTTTTTTGGAGCATGTCACACTCTCCACATCATCTTAATTTTCTTCAAGACCAGCTATGTAACATGGTGGTGGTGATGCATTTTCAGTTTCCATTGCCAGCGCTTTCTATAAACTTATTGGAAGCTGCAAGTTCCCCAAGCCTGGAGAGCCAAATTCCTGTTTACCTGTTCAGCATTCCTTTGCTGTTCAGATCAGATCCAGTAAGCGATAACCTAATTTACAGAAGAAGCTTCTATTTTCAATTGGAGCCAAGTCCTGACCCAAAACAAAGTCAGCAGCAGAAACCCCACTGACTCCACACAGCCAGTTTATTTGCTCCCTGATCTCAATTCACCAACATAATTAAGCTGTTTGATGCTTTAGAGCAGAATCCACAATTCCTTTGGGATCTGGAGTCCACGTCACACCTGCTCCATGTACTTAAAACCCCATGATTTTAATGTCTCACTGTTGCTGCTGTTCCTGTGAGGACCTTGGAGCTGCCGCAGTGCAGGAGGCGTGAGCTGGGTTATATTCCCTGTAATGCACTGTGGACATGGGGGTGCTGGCGGGGCACAAAGAGCACTTTATGTGGCTTCTGCAGACCAGACCCCAGCCCCAGCCCTCTTTACCATGGTTGTAGAGTGTGCCTGCCGGGGGTTTTGGAAGATAGCAGCAGCCCATGAAATAGATGGCAGCTGGAGTTGGTGCTGTGTTGAGCCCTCTGCCAGCACAACGGGACCTCAGCTGAGGAAGGCGACCCCACTTCTGCTTCC